CCGACGTGAACGTGCCGTCCGTCCCTTCGCTCTGTCATCTTGGACCTCATCTGCATTCACACATGCGTGCGTTATACACACACTGACACACACACATCACCGAATGTTCCATCTTGGCGGCATGCTCATCCGTCCGGCGCTCACCTTCGCACCGTCCTGCGCAGGATATGAATGCGTGCAGACACGCACCGTCATCTTGAGCCTTCACCAGAGCTTCGCCCGGAAAGTTTCGCGCACACTCACGAGCTTTTCATTCCGACGCTCCCAACTTTCCGACCTCACCCCCCCTCGCAGCCTGACCGAGTGGGTGCACTCACACAAGCTTGTCTTGTGTCCTAAAGTAGATCATGGCGCTGCGGAGAGCCGTCTGCCACGCAGTATGCGAATTGACAGCCTGTTCGCCCCCTCCCCCCATCTGCCGCCCACCGGCCGCCCGCTTCATCAGCGGCTTTGCCCGGAGCCCGATGTCCCTTGCGCCCAAGAAAAAGAAGGCCGAGGCAGCTGCGGACAAGGGCGCCGCTGCGCCGTCTGAGCCGACGAGCGGTCAGCTGTTCAACATTTTCATCGAGAAGAGCGACCCGAAGCTGCTGCCTGACCACTGCTACCCCGACTGGCTGTGGGGCATGGACAAGCCCAGCAAGACCTATGGCGAACTGTCGCTCATGTTCGTCTACGGACAGGTCAGACACACACACGCAAACACGAGACTTATGACAGGCACACAGGCGTCATCGGTGTGTGTGTGTGTGGCGGGTGGGTTGGTGTCTGCCTTTTCCTGCAGGGGATAGAGAATGCCACGTTCACCGAGTACCGTCAGTTTCTGCGGAAGCACCGGAAGATCGTCATCAAGCTCAATAACCTGCGGCTCAAAAGAGCCAGAAGGAAGAACGTCAAACCCATATTCTGGGACGTGTAGATGTATGTGTTCGATGGGGTCCTTGGATGAGTGGGCGGCTGGGAGAGGGAGGGAGGGACGCTGGGTGGCTTATTGAGAGGCAGAGAGGCATTTAGTATTAGCAGTGACTGTGGGTTCAATGGCTTGTGGATGTGCTCTGGTGATGTATGACGCGAGAGCGGCATGACGGGCTTTCGAATGCGGTACCGGACCGACATCTGTCCATGCAGCCACACAAATCATGTTTGCCTGAGCGCAGGCTTGCTTGTACATTGTCACCATTCACGAAGACCACAATTCGCAGGAACAGGCAGGAACACACCAATAAAAGACGGCTCACGGCAAAACCGAGTGGATTAAACTCCACACGAAGGAGGCAGAGCCACGTGACTGACGCTATCTCGCATGCTGGTGCTTCAGCCGCTCCCCACCTGCACACAGAACACATACAGCAGTGTTGTCCACAGCCAGCCAGCCATGTGTGCCCTCCGTTCCCCTCACACACACACCTGCCAGATCTCCATCTCATCGCAAGTGAAGTTGTAGGACTGTGCTAATGTGCCGTTGCCATGCTCGTTGATCTCCCCATTGTATCTCTCTGCAAGGTGCTCCTCCTTGATCCACTGACAGCAGCGGTTGAGGTCGGCCGCCGGACCAGGACTGGCATATCCCAGCCACAGGTAGCCGCGGGCGATGCACACATTGGCGAGCGGCTGGTGTTCGGTGTCCTTCACCGCCCCCTGTGTGCCGGCCACGTCCACCCACTACTGCCTCTCCTCTGGCAGCTCGATCTTGGTCGGCGTCTCGTACGCACCGGACAGCGAAAAGAAGAAGAGGGGCGCCTTGTAGCGGTTGGTCTTTGTTGGGTCTTGTGGCGCTGTGAGTGGTCCATCGACAAAGGCGCCGAATCTGTGTGTGTCGCCCTGCCGGATGGCGAACAGCAGGCCGCTCTTGCCCACCACCTTGTTGAGGAAGGAGGGGTACTCAAATGTGTCACGACTCGACCTGATATCAACATGAACACCCAGGATGATCTGTCTCTGTGCCCATTTCCCTCTCTGTGTGTGTGGCCTCCTCACTTGTAGATGAGTGTGGCTCTGGGTGAGGGTTTGCCGGTCATGTCGATGACTTTGCCCCACTCCTCGGCCGACTTGGCGATGAAGTCGGTGCCATCGGCGGCCGGCAGATGGCAATACGGCTGGTACCTCAGCCCATACATCTCCTGACACACACATGAGACCAGCCACACTGCCAACTGGTGTGGACCCGGGCGCGGTGCCGTCACTTACGATGTCATCGATGAAGTGGCGCTCGCCTCCCTCCTCGAGCAGCGGCGGTCGGATCAGCTGACAGGCCGGCAGAACGGCGATGCGCCGGGCAAACTCCACAGTCGTCACGAAGCACTTGGTGGGCGTCTGACGCACTCGACGGTCGGCCCAACAGGGGGGTGTGCTGCACAGACCACGCAAAGACCACGCACAGCCCCCAAGCGCCCAATATGACCTGGTCGTTGTCATATCTGTGTCTGCTCGCTCCTCTTACGTGGCGAAGCGGGTGAGGAGCGGGTGGTTGGGGCCCAGACGACTGAAGGTCTTGCGCATCATCGACACCTTGCGGCCAAGGACCGTCAGGCTTAAAATCTCGTTCTCGCTCCCGTCAGGGCTGGCGAAGAAGGGCTCCATGGCCTCCAGGAAGCACCTGATGTCATCCCTGACGCCCTGCAGCTGCTTGATGGCCGCCGAGTGGGTGCGGAGGAACTGCTCGCAGGCCTTCAGATACTGCTGGATGGCCTGGTCCTCGCTGCCGGTGGGATTGTCAGTCGATGCTGTGCTGGCCGTGTGGGGTGGGGTGGTCTGCTGAGGCGCCGCATAGCAGTTGATCTCCCGCGTGAAGAGGGCATGGTAGTCGGCGTAGAGCGGGTCAGCAGCCTTGGGCGGCGGCAGCTCGACAGTGTTGGTGCGACCGGTCTCATAGAGCGTCAGCTCGTCCAGAAAGGCCTCGAAATACGCCGGTGACGTCTCCAGGTAGATGTGGCCGTCGGCATCTCTCGGCAGGCCGCTCGCATGGTGCATCAGCAGCACTGAGATATAGCGATGCTTCATATACGGCATCAGCAGTACACGCCGACTCACGGGAAAGACCGAACCGCCTGGATGTGGTCACACAGAGCAAAGCGATGCATGCGTGTAGCAAATACAACTGGCACTCCTGCTGGCTGTTTCCTTTTTACCGGCATTGACCATGATCTCTCCCTCGGTGTCAGTGAGCTGCCACGTGCCGCCTTCTGCCGCCACCAAGGTGGAGATCTCATTGGCGATGGCCTGCATCTCGGCGTCCGCTCTCTCCTTGGCAGCCATGAACGACTCCGAAGACCTTCGTATCAGATGGTCAGCCATCTCGCAGCCCGTCACGGGCAGGTGCATCGACTCTCCCATCTTCACTGTTTCCTGAAGCAGCGGTTTCACGGCGCTCTGAAGAGGCGATCCCGCACCGTCCGTTCGTTCGTTCGTTAACCTCACGGGGACCTTGCCCCCCGGCCCCCCGAAGGGGTACGCAAGAAAGGGTCTGTATGAGTCCATAGAAAGTCACAAGTCAGGAGAAGGAAGCACCGGATGCAACGCAACCCACCGCTTACGCGAGGCCTTCGCAGACAGTAGAAAACTGGCTACCGCTTCATGCACACGCAGTGAGCGAGATGTGAGCAGAGAAAAGGCAAACACAAGAGGATCACAATAATTGAGATCCCATCGAAAGTAAACCTTGCCATCAGGCGCCGGAAGGCCATACATGCGAACAACACGGAATACTTCCCCTCGTGCAGAGCTATAGAGCGGACAGTAGAAAAGAATGTGCCGTCCGCTTGCGGAGAGGGGGCCCGGGGAGAGAGAAAGGAAGACAGTGAAGAAAGCACAATCAGCTTTCGTGTATCTGGTGTGCTACGGGTTGTGAAGTGATGGCCTCAAGCGCATCTGCGGAGTCTGACGATGGTCATCTAGGCGTCGATGACGTCCTTTAAGTTATCCGCGTGCCGTCCCGCAAGGGAGCGCAGCAGAACCCCGAGGCGAGTCAGCAGCTAGCCGAGTGCGTCTTCCGCCGCACCTTCACCGACCCGCAGCAAGTGACAGACCTTATTCGGCAAGGCGCGGACACAAGCAGCTTCCCGAGACTGAGCAGAGGGCTGAGGAAAGGGTCTCGAGCATACCGAACTTATCCCTTACTTTCTCTGGCCATTGACAACACCGTCTTCTCGACGGGCGATGGATATTCTGTCGCTTTGCCCAAGTGGAGGACTCGTGAGCTGGAGAGGGGAGTCATCAACGCGTTTATCGATGGCGGCGCGCGACTCAACTGGGGGGGTGACGACCGGCCCATTCTCGTGGCCATTCAGGCGGGCAATCTGATGGCAGTGGACGTCTTTCTGTCCAGGGACGTCGATTTGTGTGGTGTGCTCGGCCTGCCCTCCCGTTTTTCTTCGCAGTCCGACCGCTGAGTACGAGGCGGAGCTCATGCAGATCTACCGGCGGATTCTGGAGAAGGACAGGACGCTCGCAATGGAGACGAGCTTCGGGAGCAATCTGGCCCACCAGGCAGCACGCGGCGGCAGCCTGTATGAAACAAGCGTCTATTCGCAGTCGTTCATCAACAGTTACATGACGCTGCTGGTGGACAACGGGGTGGACATCGCGGCAACAGACGAAATAGGAGAGACACCACTGTACTGTGCGGCTCTTTACCGCTTCCCCAAAGTGGTCGACTTCCTCGCCCGGCACCTCACGTCAGCCGACGACATCAACAGAGCCTCGCTCTACCACAATGAGACACCCCTCGGTGTGGCTGTCTCTGAGGCCGTTTATCATGAATGGGAACCTCCCAATCCCACCATCCGCACACTGTTGATGGCGGGCGCTGACGTCCCTCTGCTGCCCACGGTGGATGACGACGCAGAGGACGACCCACATGTGGACGCAGGCGATGATCGTTATTTGAGACAACCATCCGCCCTGCGCCGTCAGCGACAGCTGGTGTTATCGGAATACAGAGAGGTGCTCAACGACCTGCCGAAGCCGGCCATGGCGGCCCTCAATGCAGCCCTGGCCCCTCACCGGTCGCTGGCCGCTCTGCTGACTCCTCGGCTGGCAGTGGGACCGCAAGAGGCCCCCTTCTTCGGCTGGCGCATCGCATCGTACCTCTTCGACACAGAAGCCGTCAACCGGACCATCACCGACACACTGCTGCCCTTCCGCCACACCGACATGGCCCGCCGTGTGTGTACGGCTATCGAGCACTTCGTCAAGTCGGCGTTGGAGGCGAGCAGCAACAGGGAGGTGGTGGGACCTATGGCCAATGTGGGCGGTCAGATGGTGCGGGTGCCGCTGCAGTGCTTCGCCGTCAGGGGGCAGGAGGGCGGGCAGCCTCGGCTGCTGGGTGTGCGTGAGGTGGTGCACAAGGCCCGGCTGGACGAGGCGGCCCGACATGGCGTAGAGGGAGTTGTCAAGGGCTTTGACGACCACCTCGGCAACGAGGACTGTCAGTTTGAATGGCAGCACTTGGGTTACATCAACAAGCAGGGGCAGTTCGAGTCACTGGGCATCAACTGATGGGCTTGATGGTGCGGTGGCTCATTGGGTGGACGGGAAGGGGAGAGAGAGAGAGAGAGAGAGAGAGAGGGTCTATGGCTGTCTTAGGCAGCTTATGTGTCTGTTCATGTGTGGCAGGACGGCTGTGTGTGCATAATATGTGAAGTGTCTTTGGATGTCAATTTTGTTTGTCATGTGAGGGAACGGGAAAGGTCGGCCTTCACAGCCACCACGAAGGTCCACACACAATACGCTGCAATATATCACCGAAAGTCACTCGTGCCCACACAACTATCAGATCTGACGGACAGACACTATGCCACCCCTCCTCTGTACAAGGCCCAAAAAAAGATGGTCGCCTGCCTCTGCACCCAGCCAGCCAGCCAGCTATCAATCGACATCCGCCATCTCGCTCCGAGGTTCATTCTTGCCGTCCGCCTGCTTCCCACTGACTGATTCTGCCCTTCTGCCCTTCTCCTCAGCCACTCCACTTTGCCGAGGTGCTCTTCGAGGGTCTGAGAAGTTCGGTCGCCCTCCTCCCCTCCTAGTAAGTGATCGATGCCCCTTCCGTCGAACCTGCCGCTGCGATGCGTTACCTGGCATGACAAGCACAAACACAACGTGCGATGATGAATGAGTGGATGTCTTGCCACGTGCTTGCATACCGTGCGCACGAGCCCTCTGTGGCTGCAATTGTGGCGATCTCCGCTCCCTGGCGCGTCTGGCGGCCTCGACGGCGCGGAGGGCCTCCTCGAGAAAGACGAAATCTCGGTGAAGGTCAGTGTCGGTGAAGCTGCTGGCGGCGACGTGCTGGACCCTCTCGCGTTGCCCCGTGCAGCCCGTTCGCTCCTTGTGCTGCTTGACACACTCGAGGCTGCATGTGCGCGTCTGACAGGCCGGGCAGCGGTATCTTGCGGCTTTCTTACAGATGAAGCACTCAGGGGGGGATGGTTGTTGCGGGGCGTTCATCACTGCTGTGTCCGCCCACGACTCTCTGCATATTGAGCTCGCAAAAGGTCGCGAGCTCAGCCTGTGCAGATCTCCCGCCTTTGGAAGGAACAAACCCGCGTGGTTGCTGACGTGTTCCATCCCTCTCATCTCGTCTATCTATCTTTCAATCTCTCTGTTCTAGTGCTGGCCGCTCCCCATTATCCGGTAAGTACGACGCTCATCTGACCAAGACATCCATGCACATCTCGCGTCTGTGCATCTCTGTCACTCTCTGTGTTGCGTCATGCATGCGCCCTCAGCAGCTCAGTCACTCTGGCGCTGTTGACTGACACACAGATGGGATGACAGCCACTACTCATGCGGCCGATGGGTCATCGTCCCTCCATTCGCAGCATGAGCTGCTCCAGAACCTCTTCAAATCACTCAGCCGGCGCGTCTATGGGCCGTCGCCCTCCGCGGCCGTCGACTGCCGCGTCAAGCTCGAGCTACTCAACAGAGTGGCCCACGTCGCGCAGGTCAGCGAGCGAATGAATGGATGGATGGACACGCACCACACACACTCACCTTCATGTATCCTGTGTTGTCCGTGTGTGTGTGTCCTTGTGGTGTTCAGGGTATGTCATGGTCGGGCGAGGCGGCTCCCGGCCCCGCCCCAGCCTCCGCACCCGCACCCCTCTCCGTCGATGCAGCAGGCGCCCTCCCGCCGTCCGCCACCCACGCCCAAGCCCAGCAGCAGCAGCAGCTGCAGCAGCCCCCACCAGCCTTCGACTGGATCCTCTCCTTCTCTCTCTTTCGGCACTTCCTATTCGACCAAGACACTCTCACACGCGCGGCGGCTCTGCGAGCGTGTCGGTACTTCCTGCTGTCCGAAGCCGCGCTGGCGGCTTGCAGCGACCTCTGGGTACCCGAGTTCGTCTGTGTGGCTCTGGAAAGGAACCCCCGCAGCAGCGCCGTGGCCGATCAGCAGGCCGTCGAGTGGGAGAGGATCGCCGCGCTGAGGTTCATTCGGAAGTGGGGCTCCCTCGCGGCGAGCGGCCGGACCTCCACACGGCTGCCTCTGTGCTTTGTGCGGTCGCTTGTGGCCATTGCGGAGTCGTCGGCAGACACACTGAGGCGCGTTTGTCTGGAGACTTTGCGCGACCTGGCTATTATGCGGCCGCGGCTGGTGGCTGAGGCTTGGGGCGTGGGTGTGCTGATGGACGCGCTGAGCGACCCTTGTGTGCCTGTGGGTCTGAGGGAGAGCATTGCGTTTGTGATTGGGCATCTTCTGGCCGACCCTAAGAAGAGGCAGGCCGTCGCAAAGGGACAGGTGAGTACACGCAGCTCAGCTCAACGCAAAGCAATGCACCGGTCCATCGACCCATCTGTCGTGGCCTGCTTCATGTGTGCATCAGGTGTGCTGGACGACCGAGATCCAGAAGCTGTGCTCCATCTTCATCGAGGAGAGGGAGTCTGACGGCACAGTGACACAGCCACAGCCACAGCAGCAGACGCAGACGCCCCTGCCGCCCGACCAACAGCCGGCAGACGAGCGGTCTGCGCGTGTTGAGGCGGCCAGCGGCTCCATCCTCGCTCTCATGCGGAGCGTCCCGGGGTTCATTGCGCTTGCTGGGGCGCCACACGGTGCGCAGAGATCCCCACACCCACACCCACACGTACACATCTGGGTGTTTCTCTCTCTGTGTCTGCGTGTGTGTGTGTGTGTGTGTCTGTGTGTGTGCAGGGCTCTCTGCGTTGGTGTCCTTTCTGCGCCACCCCGTCTCCCCGGACCGCTCAGGAGACATCTCGCGGGTCATCAGGCTGCTCCATGACATACTCGCCATGGCTCTGGGTGCGTTGAGATGCACCGCATCCACCTACACACTCACTCCGATTGGGTGGTGCGTGCAGGCACCAGAGGCAGAGTGACGTTTGACCACATCGTCTCCTTCGCGCGGGCGAGGCGGCGGCCTTACCACGGCAGCAAGCTCAGGCACCTTGTGCAGGGCACCATGGGCGTACACGGCGCAGAAAGGTCGGACACACGCAAACACACACACACACACGGAGAGAGAGAGATGTGGACATTCTCCCTAGGTAGAGATGCGAATGTTGCGGTCTGCGTGTTGTGCAGGTTTCCCACTCTGCCGCCATTACCTTCGCTGCACCCCTCAAGACGGTCGCGGACGTCGTCGTTCAACCTCCCCAATGTTCCATCGCTGCAGGTATCTCGACCCATATGTGTGAATCAATGGATGGATGGATGGATGTGTGAACTTAGGACACCTCCCCGACTCAGCGGAGAGCGACGGCAGCGGCACAGGCGCAGACACAGACACAGACTCAGACGCAGACCCAGGGAGGGCCGCAGACTGGTGTGGTGGGGGATGTCGCTGGTACGCATTGAATTCACAGGCCCACACGAACACACGTGTGTGTCCATCGTCCATCCATCCATCCGTCCGTCCATTCACACAGTTGATCGCGCCAAGAGCGGCCCCATAACGGCGAGTGCAGTCGGGGAAGGGACCATGTCTATCCAACCCATGGCGAGGAGCGTCTCTGTCAAGGTGACTTCCCTCCCCGCCACTGACACACAACACACAACACACAACACACAACACACAACACACACACACACACACACCCCACGTAATGCAGGCTGCGGCGCACTCCGGTGGTGGTATGATGCCTTCGAGCGGCAGCGAGCCGTCGCTGGGCCAGCAGAGCGGACAGCTCACCAACCTCCCGCAGATCGGAAACAGACCGAGGGCTTTCTCTGGTACGCACCAACACACACACACACAGACACACGTGGGCTGATGACTCCCTGGTGTGGTGTGCGGGATGCAGGCATATCGGCCGGCTCGTTGTCTGCATTTTCCGAGCGGTCAGCCGAGACGCCCCAACACGCGCACTCCTCCCTCTCGTCACAGCAGTACTTCCCACAGGCAAGCAACACATGCCCATGCCCATGCCCATGCCCACCTATGGTGGCCATTCATGTGTGTGTGTGTGTGTAGGGTCAGTACGTGCTGTCCAGTCTGGGCGAGGGGCTGGTGGGCCTCGTTGACGAGCTCGGTACCCACACAGCCACACAACACTCGCACACCACAGAGGATCGTCCATATGTGTGTGTGTGTGTGTGTTGATTGTGTGCACATGGCAGGTGAGTCGTCATTCGATGGCATTATGGGCGTGGGCGTCGGTGTGGGTGACGGCACCACCACCGCGACCACCACCAGCAGCACCAGCGGTGCCGGCAGCGGGGCCATCGACGGCGGCTGCGAGCTGCTCGACGTCTGGGGGGTCTTTGTGGTGCGGTGCCTTGTCTGGCTGGGCGTCCATCAGGCGCTCGCCGAGCTCGTGATCTGGTAACCGCCCTCCCCCGCCCCAACCGCTCATAATGGGTGTGTGTGTTCTGGTGTGTGTGTGGCAGTCCGTCAGCCGAGCCGTGGCTGATAGCTGAGGCGTCGGAGGTGCTGTCTTTGCTGCTGTCGAGCGCGTCGCTGCTGTTGCCGCCCCACCTTCTGGCCAACGTGCAGGCAGTCCCGCCCATCTCATCGGCGGCGACCCTTTTCCCCTCCTCGCACACACGAATTCGGGTAGGTGGGTGCGTGTGTGTGTGCGTGGGTGTGTGGGTGGAGCCTGTCTCTCTCCCTCTGTGTGTGTGTGTGTGTGTGTGTAGGCGCATTCGGTGCTGACACAGCTTGACCTCGGTGGCGTGCCGCAGATGTGGCGCCTCAACAATGGCAACAACGGCACTGCCGCTGCCAACGAGGGGTACGTATGGCAACCACGGCACCGCAGCCGTATGTGTGTCAATGTGGTTGTGTGGATGGATGGATGCAGGCAGCCACAATTACTGGCGTGCAATTTGGCTGTGGGCCCGGTTTCTGCTGATGGTGGTGGTGGTGCGGATGAGGAGGCAATCGAGGCCTTCGCCAAGACCGTCACGTGTGAGGTCACACACACAAGGGTGAGCGCATCCTCTCTCTCTCTCTCTCTCACACACACACACACACACTCATTTGTGTGTGTGTGTGTGTCAGCTGCTGGATTCGACAAGGACGTCGCTCGCCACAGCGCTGCACGTCGGCACACAGGCGTACGCAGATTCGAGTGAATTGTGTGTGGTCTGGTGGATGGTGGGCCACTGTGTGTGTGTGTGTGTGTGTGCAGGTTTGGGAGTGAGGACATCGCGTCGGCCATCAAGACCACCGGCGTCATGAACATCAGAGAAGGCACCAAATGGTAACTGAAACGAACGGCCACCCAGTACACCCCCCACACAGACAGACAGCCACACACATCACACACATCCATCCATCTCCATGTGCTGCATACTGCAGGCACTGGCCGTCCATTCTGCACCTCCTACAAGGCCCCCTGCGGCTGCCCCTCAAGCACCAGGACGCTATCGTCACCAAATTCATCAGACGACTGCTCAGGTAAACCCCCTTCCCTACCCGACCCCACCCCCACATTTCCATGGTTTGCAATGGCAGGTTCTTCTCGCCCCGCTCTCGGGAGTTTCCCTTGCTCGAGTGGCGGGCGGCCCATCTGCCGATGGTGGAGGCCGGCATGGAGGCGATCGCCATGCTTGTGGCCGGGAGAAACGAGGTACGTGGCTCCTTTGTGTGTGTGTGTGTGTGATGGTTTGTGTATGTGTGTGCCTGCAGGGGCGGCTGTTTCTGTTTCCGAGTGAGGGGTACTTTGCGGAGAGGCGGGGGTTCGTGTGTGAGCTGGTACAGCTTTTTCATGACGAGCTGGCCGAAGTCGACAAGGCAACCTAACACACACACATAGACACACACACACACACACAGAGAGAGAGAGAGAGGATGGCTCCACCACAGACACCGACCTGTGTGTATGGTGCAGGCCACCCCCTCCCCCACCCCCAAGACAGCAGCCCTTCCCCCAAAATCATCCCCCTCGCCCCACCAGCAGCACCACCACCAGCACCAGCACCAGCACCAGCCTGGTGGCGGCGGCCCCATCAACATCTCCATGTGTTGGAGCGTCAAGCAGTCACCCAGCACCCCCAGTCAACTCCACGCTCTGGTGGGAGGGAGAGAGAGGGGCTGGGAAGAGGGCGTGTGTGTCATTGTCTGTCACTGTGATTGTGTTAATTGAGTGCCTGCAGGCAATGCCGAAGAATGTCAGCTCCCACTCGCTGCGCAGCGAGCAGAGCGAACGGTTGCTGTGCGGCAGCGTGCCTCTGCGCCCCCTGGCCTCACCACAGGACACATCGCTGCTCTCAGTCGCACTGCCGCCTGCTTGTACGCAACGCAATGCACCCAACGCACCCAACACAGCGCAACACGTCGGAAGTGTGCAGTGCATTGTGTGTGTGTCGGTGTGCGTCGATGTATCTGTGCAGCTGCCGGCCGCCCACGGGCAAGGTCCTGCTCAGGCTCTTCTCTTGCGAGCGGCGAAGACGGGCAGCAGACACACGTAACCACACACACACAGAGAGAGAGAGAGAGCCACACGTGTCTATGGCTGGGCTGGGCTGCGCCCACCCATCTCATCTCTGCAGATCAGCGTCGTGAACGTGGAGGTGCCGCCGCACGACCGCAAGAGCTACTCGAGCATCCAGGCCTTCCTCAAGAGCCGTGTCCACTCCATGCAGACTGTCACGCAACAGCAGCAGCAGCAGCAGACCCAGCAGCACATCCAAGCTCGACCACGATTCCCCTCTGACGCGGGGGAGTCCACACGCCCGCTGCCGACGATGCCGCGAGTCGACGAGAGAGAGGGCAATGGCGAGCAGCAGCCGCCACAGGTATGCCTTCGTGTGGTTGGGTGGGGGAGGGCTCTCCGATGAGTGTGTGTGTATGTGTGTGTGTGTCGCAGCCGCCCCCCCATTTGTTTGGGTGGTTTGGTGGGCTTGGGGGTTCGACTAAGGGACTGCTGACAGAGAGCATGGTGGGCCGCACACTGGTCCGCGAGTACGCCACCTTCCTGGGCCTCATCTCCTGCACACAAGGTGGGTGGGCGCCAATCACACACACACACACACACAGAGAGAGAGAGAGAGAGAGAGTTTGCGCACGGAAGGCACACAGAGGCAGCACAGGGATAGGTGTTCATGTGTGTGTGTGTGTGTGTGTGTGTAGAGGGTGTGACCATATTGACGAAGCTGGAGTTCTACCGCACTTTGGACCGGCTTGTGGCCATTCGCGACAAGGACTTCCTTACCAGCCTCTTCGTGCCGCACCTCTGCTACTCATTCCGGGAGAACAGAGCCGTCGTCGACAAAGTCCTTAAGACAGACAGGAGAGAGAAGGCCATCTCCACACACACACACACACACAGACAGACAGAGAGAGAGAGAGGAGGCGCCCCCACACATAAACCACCAATTTCTTCTCCCTCTCTGTTGCCACACACCTGCCCACACAGATCTTCGCCGCCGGCTCCCCCTCCCTCCGTCTGTCGACCATCCGCTACTTCGGTCTCCTCTTCGACAGCCACGAGACCTCCAGCAGCTTCACGTCACTCGAGCTGCCAGGCACCCCGTGCGACCTCGTCTACTGCCCCAGGAGCCCCCACACCGACCCCCACCTGCACAAAGGCGACCACCTCCTAGAAGGGGGAGTGCCAGGGCGGTATCGGCTGCACCGGACCATGAGCGGCGTGACGGTCAGCACGGCGAGCACCTCGGGGATGCAGCAGCAGAGCACCACCCGCCCGAGGGAGTACTCGGCCTCCACCGACAGCAATGACGACGAGCTGCGCGTGGGGCTGAGGAAGGTGCCCTCTGCTGGGAGGGTGGTGGTCGGGCAGAGCCCCTCCCCCCCGCCGCCCTACCCCCCCGCTGTCATGAGAGTGGTCCGGCCGTCGTCGGCAGCTTCGATCGCGTCCATCAACCTGCACGCGTCATCGTCGGCGCCCACGATGCACGACGCCCCCACCACCACTTATTCCCACGGCTACCCCACTGAGCTCTCCATCGGCTCAAGGTTCCCCGCCCGCACCATGGCCATTGGGCCGCTGGCCTTCGCCACCAGCCCTGGGGCGCCTGTTGGGACTCAACACCAGCAGCAGCAGGATGGCGCCGGGGGGAAGAAACCTCCACCCCCACCAGCACCGCCGCCACCGCCGCCACCGCCCCCACCGCCCCCACCGCCCCCGTCGTCTGCACCGAGGAAGTGGTCCCTTGAGCAGGTGGCCAAGCGCGTGAGCTCGCCCTCATTCCGCGCTCAGCAGGGAGCTGCTGGTGGTGGTGGTGGGACGCCAGGCGTGTCGCCGCTGTCGGTGGTGCCGCAGGCGGCGCCGGAAGGCCAGGTGGCCGATGAGGTGAGCCGGCTGAGCCAGCTGGACGAAGGCACTGGTGCCCCAGTGCAGCCGCAGGCGGTGCTGTTGCCCAAGTGGAAATGGATTGCCGGTGCGTGCAGTGCAGTGCAGGGGCATGGAGAGAGAGGGGGAGAGGGTCTGTGTGTGTGAATAAATCGGTGTGTGTGTGGTGGATGCGATGCGGTGCGATGCCTGCAGGCCATTTGCTGAGGACGGGTGTGACGCAGGAGTACTGTGTGTCGGAGGCTGCTTTGTCGGTGCTTAGCGCAATGTGCCGCAGAGGGGGCCGAGAGGTCGGTCAGTCCGAAAGAACAGAACCATCCCCCCTCCGGCCACGTCACGTAAGCGTGCTGTGCCTGGTTTTGTGTGCAGGTGGTAGAGTATCTGATAGGCCTCTTCATTGAGGAGGAGCGCCACCTGGCCTTCGCTCTGCCATCCGCTTCGCTGTGGCCCACCACACTCAGACTGCAATGCCTCAGGGTAAGCTCCCCCCACCACGCACACACACACATCCGCACAGAGGGAGAGAGAGGGAGAGACGTACACACAAATGTGTGTGTGTGGGGCGTGTATGTTCAGGTGGACAAGGGCGTCGAGCTGATGGCTCGTGAGGGTTGGCTGCAGCAGGAGCTCGGCCGATGGGTGCAGACCGAGAACAGGCTCTACATCAGCTGCCTAGACCGACTCTTCGCGCGCGCCTTCTCCTCCGCCCCACAGCCAACAACACCGCCACCACCCTCACACCAACACCCACAGGTCCCCACCCACACACACACCCAGCCAGCACACAGATGGAGATGTGCACGCACACGTCTGCCAAACAGGCGCATGACAACGGGTCGGTGACCAGCGCCGCGTGGCTGGGCCGGCTGCCCTTCCGGCTGCGCGTGCAGACCTTCCTTGACCAGTTCACGACGGACAGCGGGGCCACCTTGGGGGCCACCCACCTCTACAGGGACAAGAGCACCGACGCCGAGAGGGAGAGGGAGGGCGGGATGGTGGGTGGAGGTGGAGGTGGGGAGGTGCTGCTGGATGTCGAGAGGGACTGGGAGTACAGCTATGACGATGCACAGGTACCTTGATGGATGGATGGAGGGATGGAGGCACGTGTGTGTGTGTGGCCCCAGGAGGGCGAGGTGGTGTCTGACGGCTGGGTGGAGTGCTCTGTGGAAAGGTACCCACTCCCTCACTCTCTCTCGTAGGCAACCCCGTTTGTGTGTGTGTGTGTGTGTGTGCGCATCTATGGCGCCGACTCAGGATAGAGCACAGTGCGTTCGCCGAGTCCGAGCAGGGCAGCGGCTTCCCCTACGCCAGCCCCTACCCATACCCACCTTCAGCACTACAATCAGACACAACAGCAGCAGCAGCAAACACCCCCACACCCCCTGGCCGCTCGGGTACCCCCAGTGCCTCGTGGCAGCTGGCGTGCACCTGCCCGCAGCCCATCCCGTTCCCCGTCAGCGCGCCACAGCTCGCCGTCAGGTACACCACACACACACAACACACACACACACACACACGTGTAAGTGAATCCATCCATGTGGTTCATGTGGCTGGTTCGTCCAGGGTATCCCCGTCTCTCGGTGCGCATCCTTTGCTGGCTGACGGCTCTGTGGGGGCTGTGGGGGAGGCGGGGGTGTGGTACACCTTCTCGAGGGCCAAGCACGTCGTACGCACGCACACACACACACACAGAGAGAGAGAGAGACGCGTGTGGATGGATGGATGGATGTGTGTGTGTAGGGTTCGCTGAGGCCCGTGCCGGAGCCCGGTAGCGACCACCGTGAGTACCGGACGGCGAGGGTGAGGTTCATCTTCCTCGACAACCAGGAGGACGGACAGCTCTACCTCGTACAGGTACCTATACACCTATACACACACGCATACACATACACGCAACTCTCTCTCCCTCTGTCCTCTGTGTGTGAGTGCGTGCAGATGGTATACCCCTTAAGGGGTCGCGGAGGTGCCGGCGCTGACCTCTCGGTGGCTGAGGTGCGGCCCCTCCCCCACCTCTATGGCTTCCTCGCCAGCACCGCCACAGGTCAGCCCAGCCACTCCGTCGACAGCAATCAGCACAGCACATGGAGGGTGGATCCATGTCGATGTGTGTGTGGGTCCATTCAGGTTTGGATGTGCTGCGGACGTTTCGTTGTCTGGAGCGGATCTCTGAGGTGCTTACCAACGAGGACGCCTACACGCCGGTGGAGGTGCGGAGTCAGCTGTGGTGTGCGGGCTGGGCGGGCTCCTCGGCCATGGGCGTCGACCTGCTCAAGGAGTACAACCTACTCGCTGGTACTCTCTCTCTCTCTCCCTCCCTCCCTCTCTCTGTGAGGGTCAGACAGCCGTGTTTGGGGTGTGTGTGTCTGTGTGTGTGTGTGTGTGTCCACTAGACATGGTGAATCTGGCGCTTTTCTCGCCACAGCTGGCCACGCGCGGCACGGCTCTCTATGCGCTGTCCCTCCTGGCAGCCACGCCCGCAACGCTCTTGCCGATGTCAGGTATGCTACCCCAGAGACCATCTCACACACACACACACAGAGGGACATGCCACTGTTTGTTTGGGCTGGTGTGGGTTTGTTATAAAGCCATTGGGTGGGACCTGCTGGCGAAGGGCCCGACGGACATCTCTGCGTTCCTGACGCTGCCGCGGTCGATGAAGCGCTCTCTGCACAGGATGGAGTCCGACCAGGACGAGCCGAGCGGCGGCGGGCAGCAGCAGCCCTTCATGGAGCGATCGGGCAGCATGCTCTCCACCAACACCGCAGAAAGCCCCACAGCCAAGAGGTGACCCCCCCTTCCCTCTCCATCCATCCATCTGAGCCTCTGTGTGTGTGTGTGCAGCCCCCGTGTGTTTGGCGTGTCGTCGTTGGTGCATGTGTCGTCCCGGAGTCGGTTGACGCGCGTCGACGAGGAGGAGGAAGAGGAGAGCGAAGAGGAAGCCAACAAACTTTACGAGTGAGCTCCATCCATCCATCCATTTATCCAAGAGTCATCCAACACTTTCACGTGTGTGTGTGTGCAGTGAGATCTGGGCTGACCCGCCACCAGTGGTGCTGCCTCTCCCGCCCTCCTCCTCTGCCCACGCACAACCGCCACAGGCTCCACAGGCAGCCGCCACACAGAGAGAGAAAGGGGGAGCAGACCAGCCTCAAGTATGTCCGGGCACCCCCACACCCACACAGGGGGACCCCACACGCACATCTCTGTCTGTCTGCCTGTCTGTCTGTCTGGTCAGCGTTCGTCATTGAACCCCCCCACGAGCAGCAACAGCAGCAGCTCGTCCTCGAGCCCCTCCGTGCCATCCAGCAATCCGACGGTGCGTCGCCTGCGGGTCGAGAAAACCATCCACCACCCACCCCCACTACCACCACCACACAAGCCCACGACCCACCAGCAGCAGCAGCAGGGATGGCCATCGGCGGCGGCAGCAGCAGCAGCAGCAGCGGCGGATGTGCCAGGGGACGGCACTCCTGATCGGGAAGATCGAGAGGATGAGCAGGATCTCTATGTGGGGAGGGAGGGGGAGGATTTCGAGGTCATCCAGAAGCCCCTCAGCGACGAGGAGGAGGAGTTTGACCACCACAGAGCTGCGAGACAGAGGCCACCCCATCCACCGTCGTCGAGACGCCGCCCCTCCCCACCATCACCCTTCTGCATCCAGCAGCAGCAGCGGCAACAGACCAGCGCCTCTCCCTCCCTCACCGTCTCCTCCTCTGCCTCGCCGGCAAATGAGCGGCATCGCTCCATCTCACCCAGTGGCTCGGACACCAGCGGGTGTCTCGATGAGGACTCTGCTGCTGCGGCGGCGGCGCGGGAGTCTGAGAGCTCTGCCACCGCACCAACAGAGCCGCAGACACACGACCCCGAGCGGCCGCAGCCACCGAGGGAGTGGGAGATGGTGGCCAACAAGCGGCCTTTGGTGCAGCAGACAGAGATCCACGTGCCGCCCGCTATACCTGAGGGCAACGAGGACGACGAGAGCGCCGCGTCTTCCCAGATGGTCTACAGAGACCCCCTGGCCACTCAGCACCCCCACCAGCACCCCCAACAACAACATGAGCTCTCCATGCGGCGCATCCAGTCCGGCAGCGGCATCGTGCTGCCCGCCACGGCAGCAGGGGAGAGGCCAGAACAGAGAGAGAAGCACAGAGAGAAGGAGAAGGAGATGGAGATGGCTGGCAAGATGATCCGGCTGGGCAGGGGGCGTGTGGTGGCTGTGGGGGTGTCTGCGACGGTTCTGGAGGAGTCGTCGTCGGACGAGAGTCGTGGCGGTGAGAGCGACCAGCAGCGGCAGACGAGCAGCGACGAGGGCAGTGTGGATGAGAGGGAGAGGGCGAGACGGCGGAGGTTCAACAGATATGAGAGGGAGTACTTTGGCGACGGTGGTGGTGGTGCTGATTCCGACGCTTTGAGGGAGCGGGAGCGGCCGACACACGTACGACACACACACACACACACACACACATATGGATCAATCTCTCTCTCTCTCTCTGTGTGTGTGTGTGTGTGTCTTCGGTGTAGGCGCAACAGCAGCAGCAGCAGCAACATGGGCTGACGCGAGAAGACTCTGAGGACGACTTGCGTGCGAGGTTCACCGACTTCGGCGAGACACACAGGGAGGTTCTCGAGCAGGTGAGGTGCGCAGCGCATCCATCCATCCAGCCAGCCAGCTGTGTGTGTGTGTGTGCAGACAGCGTCTCTGTGCAACACGGTGGTGGCCAAGTCCGTCCACGCAGCGCTCGTCAAGAAGAGGTGCTTACTGACTTACAAGACAAGAGGCACATCAACAGCGATTGCGATTGTCCACCCACCGAACAAAAGCTGTCTGTCTGTCTGTCTGTCTGTGTGGTCTCTCTCTCTCTGCCCACCCCACCTCACCGGGGTGCATTGATTGCGTATGCAGGCAGTCGGCGCCCTACCTGTTTCTCTCGATCCACCTGTGGATGCGAGTGCAGTAAGCAAGGCAGGAAGGCACCACACACCCACATCCCCATCCCCGTCCCATCCATGTGTGTGTCACATCACACACATCATCCCTCCCTCCTTGTCTTGTCTTCTTTTGTGTGCACCTCCCTGTGGCCATGCCGCCCATCCCACTCACAGGAAGCTGAAGAATCTCTACCGCTACCCCCTGCCCCTCCGCCGCTTCCTGTCCGACCTCTTCAACGAGACCTTCAGCTGCCCCGAGGCCTTCCACACGCTCGACGCCATCCAGCGGGCCCACAGGCTACACATGACGCAGCAGCAGCAGAGGGAGAGGGAGGCGGAGAATGATGCCGGCGATGCGGCAGAAGCAGAGAGTGAGTGAGGAGATGGATGCACCCTGATATATGCATGATGGGGGCGGGGGCGGGGGAGCGATGTGGCCTGACAGTGTGTGCAGTGGGTGGTGTGGCTGGTGTGGGTGGGTTTAGCTAGTAGGGAGTGTGTTCGTGGCGGGCGCGTCTGACTGTGTGTGTGTGTGTGTGTGTGCCTGCGATCTACATAGGCATTTTTCACATTATGGTGTGTGTGGTGAGTGCGTGGACGAGTCGAGTCGAGTGGCGGTGTGGCATAGACAGACAGACGGACACACACGTGTGTATGTTGTGTGTGTTGTGAGTACCTAGTGGCCTGTGGGCGTTAAGACAGAGGCAAACACACTGATTGATTGCAGCAAAGCGCCAAACAAACCGCACCCGTCAAGTGTCAGCCAGCCCAGCCCTTCCCATGCACTCAAACCAGCGCCAGCTAAGTCTGCATCTCTGCCAGTGTCTTCCCCTCACCCCCCGCCCCCTCCTCCTTGTCAGCCATCACCTCTCGTCGCTTCCCCCCTATGTCAAACTCGCTCACACCCTCCCTCTCCCTCTCCCTCCGGCCATGTGGCGCGAAGCACTCAGCCCGTCGGTACTTGACAAGCTTGGCGCTGAGGGAGAAGTTCATCGGCGCCAGAGGGAAGTTGTCCTCTGAGGGGACGATGTAGAGGAAGGGGGGGTCCATCTTGAAGTAACGCGTCATGAGCAGCGGCCGGGACGACTTGGTGATGGCCAGCTCGCACTCACGGCTGCGGTTCTGATCGACACACACAGACAGACAGAGGAGGGCACAGACAGCTGGATGGATGGATGGAGGAAATATGAGTGTGTGGAAGGGAGGGCAGGACAGCTCACTGACTGACTTTGGAAATGACGGCGATGTCGACGTATCTGTCGCGCACCTCGTCGGCCGTCCGCTGCATGTCCCAAGAGATGTACAGCCACGGATCTGACGACACAAACATACACCCAGCCAACCACCAGCTCTGAATTGTCTGTGTCTTGCTGTCCGTGTGTGTGTGCGTTGTGTCGTCTCATCTCTCCCCCAGCTCACCGCCAAAGTTGACGTCATAGTACTCTGCCAGTTCCAGCAGCTTGGCGTCATCCGATTCCGTCCACTCCTTGCCGGCATTCGCCAATGGCTTGCCCTGGGTGACAACACACGAATCAGAGAGAGAATGCGATTTGGATCAACACCAGCGTGTGAGGCACCTTGAATCGCTCGAAGTATTCGGTCTTGTCGGCAGTTGGCGGCCACAGGCCATGGTTGTACAGGCTGACACACCGACCACATCCCTCATATCATTGTCACACACACCAGACGTGGTGGCTGATGGTTGAGTTGGTTTGCTCACTTTATCTTCTTCCATATGGCGCGCCTCTGGTGAGGGGTCAGCACCTCGATCTTGTACAGCTCCTGAGCAGTGAGTGAATGGCAGCCAGCATACACACACACACACACACAAATGCGGCCGTATACGTCTGAGTGTCTGTCTGCGTGAGTGTGGCTGATCGACCGACCGGTCCGGCTTACCTCCCAGTGGGCACCGATGAAGTCATTCCAGGTCGGGAAGGCAGCGGCGATCTCCTCGGCATTCTCCTCGATCGGAATGGCCTGCAGGAACTCCAACACGCCCCAACCATCTGACACACACACACGATTACCTTACACCCACAATCCACACACAGACAGACACACGAACAAGGAAGAGCACGAGTGCAGTGCGCACCACACCCGGCGGCGGTTTTGCGTAGGCCTTCTTGAGGTGCGCCTCCTCGTTGAACTCCTCAAACTGCTTCTGCCGCACCAGGTTCTTGCGGAAGTTCTTCAGGTCGAAGTACGTCTGGCGCTTCTTCCACTTGGGATTCTCTGCAATGCAGCGCAGTGCAACACACAGACACACAGAGACCAGTGCAGTGCAACACACTGCTGCTGGTGTTGATAAGTGGCTGTGTGTTTTGTGTGTGTGGTTGGCTCTCTCTCCTCTGACAGACTGACCCCATGAGTCCTCTTCCTGCAGGCGACATGCTGATGTGTGCAGCTGGCGGCCGCACTGGGGGAGGGCCAGCCGAGCCAGCGGGATGCGAACGACAGATCTGCCAGCCTGGCGACGCATCATCGGCTGCTCTGTCTGGATGACTCAAAGGAGCTGAAGAGAGATGGTCATCTTAACAGGAAGATATGACTGGATGACAGAAGGATCACAGTGCCTTCTTTTCTTGCCCTTTCCGGGGGAGAGGGAATGTGCTCCTCGCGGCGATTGCGAGCTTTGAGTGGATCGCCAGCTGGAGGCAAACGAGCGTGATGTTTGCGAAGAAGCGCAAGGTGGAGGAGCCGCCGGAGTCGCCTGCCGACGACAGCGATGAGTTTGAGCCGCTCCCATTCATCGGGAGGGCATCAGTCGACGCGCTGTTCAAGGAGGCCGACGAGGCACTCGCCGCCATCGAGCAGTCGGCCAAACAGATGCGCAAGAAGCTGCGGCAGCAAGCCAAGACGATCAAGGACCTGATTACGACCAATGCCGCGCAGCCGAGTGTGACAGGCCCGTTGAGTGAGGAGATAGAGGTCAACGTGGGCGGGACGGTGCTGTGTGTGCCACGCAAGCCGCTGCTGCTGCCCGGCGTGAGTGAGAGCATCATCGCCTATCTGCTGCTGTACCATCTGGATGGGCTGCCGAAGGACAAGGACGGCCGGCCATTCCTCGACGCTGACCCCGTCTACCTGGAGTGGTCAGTTGGGAGTGGGGGGAGAGGGGAGACGAACTCGCAGACAGTGCGGTTTGTCGTATCTGTTGGCGTCAGGCTGTTCAATGAGATCACCGACGTCGGCGTGGCCGATGCGCAGGGCGAGAGCCATGAGATCGTCCTGACCCCTCCACACGACACCGACAGCTCATCGGTCTCCTGGCATCATCTCCTCTTCGCCACCAAGACCGGCCTCGACGTCGACAGGCCCACAGACCCGCCGCCACACAACGACGATGACGACCACATGGAGGTGGACAACCAGCAGCAGCAGCAGCAGCAGGCGGGAGAGGCGGCAAGTGAGGAAAAGGGGGAGCCGGCAGGGGAGCAGGAGGGGGCTAGCGACCACATGGCGGCACTCAAGAGCAGCACTGCAAGCCTGGATGCGTCATTGGGTCGGCTGGGCGAAGTGTAGCGGGCCCTGCTCAACTTCCACAAGCTTGTCAAGCCGCTGCTGGCGACTGAGGGGGGGCAGGGAGGGCAAGGGGATGAGATAAAGAGCCTGCGCGTCCTGGGCAAGACGGTGTCGACCACCGAGGCCACACTGGCATCCATCGGCACTGACAAACGACTCTACAGGACGTTCCACAGGTGGGCAACACAACACCAGACAGATGGGCGGGAGAGGCACAATCGCCATGTCTGTGTCCTTCTCTTGTGTCTGCAGCGGTGCGCCTGTGAGTTCCATCCGCCCTGACCATTTCATGAAGGTCACCGACTTCGCCCGCCGCCGTCGCATCGCACCGCCCGGTACTTTGGTGAGGCCGCCCACATCGACCAGAACCAAGCAGATTCGGACGGACACTGAGATGTATGGGCTGAAGTACGAGCCCTTCTTCAGCGGCCTGGCGGGGGGCAACTTGGTCATCGAGACGGCCGAGGAGTGGGGCGAGGTGCTCAAGATGACGGGCAAGACCTCACCAATGGCGTCACTCTTATACAAGTCAGCGAGCAACACACACACAGACAGCAGCGAGGGGGCCCTGGAAGATCTGCCTTCGGGTGTCTGTGTGTGTGTGTTGTGTGTCGTCCATCAGGGGCAGTCGTGACACGTATGCCTTCCCCAAGATGCTCGAGTGTGTCGAGGGCAAGAGCGGCCTCCTCTTCGCCATCAAACATGGCCGCACTCACCGATTCGGCTGCTTCATCGACGGCCCACTCACACCACCCGCCGACCCTACACAGACCAACATCTACAAGGTGCCCGTCTTCTTCTTTTCGCTCTCGGGTGCGTACGAGACGCCGACCAAGATCGAGATACCTGAGGAGAGGCAGAGGGTGACGGTGGCCGGCACACAGGGGGCGGTGACCTACCGCAATGGCGAGCCGCTCGCCAATATCTGCATCGCTCGCGGCTATCTGTGGTTAGGTCTCGCCGTGCCTGGTCCGGCGGCTTACCTCAGTCGGTGCTACCAGGGCATGGAGAAGGAGTGCCTTTCGGAGGGGTACAGGGGCCGAAGGGGCAGCTACGGCACTTTGGCCCAGTTCATGAACTTCACCTGCACCGAGATGGAAATCTGGCAGGTGGGTGGCCACCCCACACTCATCTCTGTGGAAGTGTCCATCTGCGTGTCTATGGATGGATGGATGAATGTGCAGATTGCCACTGGCTGACCATATCTGACGTCGACCCACCACGCGACCGGGCAGCAGGTATATTTGCAAAACAGCGAGGCGCTGTGTCAGCTGATAGGGAGGCGCTTCCCTCTTCTCTCTGTGTTGGTGTGGTGCAGGTGGCGGATGTGTTGAGGTGATCGCACAGAGCAGACAGAGCAGAGGCCCACCCGCTCTTTCAAAGCTGTCACATGCCATTCTTTGACTGACTGACTGTATCGATTTGCCTGCACGTCTACGGTACACGACACATTCATTCATTCATTCGTCCGTTCGTTCGTGTGATGATGACATACATGTCATGTCTGATCAACCCATGTGCAGCCAGCCATCCAACCAACCCACCACAATCGCAACCCAGTCAGTCAGTCAGTCAGAAGTCATCCGCGAATGCCTCTCCCTCCCTGGCCCCTTTCTCGTGCACGCCCTTCTGCCGGTTGGCCTCCTCCTCCCTCTGCTGCATCTCCAGCACCTCTCGCAGCAGCTTCTCCTCAAGCGCACTCTCCTGCGTGTCGTCGAGCGCGCCAAACAGTACCATATTGTCGCCGCGCACAATCATCACACCCAAGTACACGTCGGCGTAGTACCTGCCCTCGGCAATGTACCGCTCCCGCGCGTCTTCCAGCACCAGGTTGCCCCACTGGTCGAACGAGCGCAGGTAGCCGATCAGCTTGCGGCCGTCCCGCAGCAGCACGATGATCTTCTTGTCCAGCTCCTCCACCAGCACCACTGACGAGAAGAACTTGGCCGCACCGCCCAGCAGGTCTCCGAACTCGGATGTATTGGACCGGCTGTCAGGCCGGCTGTGTGGGTAGCTGTCAGACCCCCGGCTGCCGCGAGGTGTCCACTGCCGCTCCTCCGGCTGCTGGCGAGGCGTAGGCCTGTAGACCTCGTGGCTGTTGTTGTGGTGGTATGGCTGGTGGTAGTGGTGGTCGTTCCTGGGAGGTGGAGGGCGGGGAGGGGGGACAGGGTAGAAGGCGGCGTCGCCGTGACGGTCATCGTGGTAGCCTGAGCCGTGCGGCTCGTCGGATGGGTAGGATGGATAGCGTTGGTGATGCATCCGCTTGGATGGCTTGGATGAAGGGATGAGATGTCGATAATGAGCTTTCAGATCTCGATGATGAGCACTCAGATGAGCAAAATGAGCCGGCTCAGAACGAACGAACACCCCCTGGGGTCGCCAAGGCAAAGCTCGCAATTCGTGGGTGCCCTGAAACCGCTGCCGTGAGCATTGATGGCGCCAAAGAAACGCAAGAACAACGATGGCAGCGCAGCCGGTGGTGAGTCCATCGCCGCCCCATCGCAGCTCCACAGCGTGACGAGTGGCCGTGAGGAGGGCGATGCGCTCGTGAAGGAGGCGGCCAATGCAGTAGACGGGCTGGGGTCGGCCACGAAGACGGCCATGCATCAAGCTGACGGCGAGATCAAGGCGCTGGCTGCGAGCATCAAGCAGCTCATCACGGCCAATGGAGGCACCATCGAACCGCAGCAGACAGAGGACCGCATGCAGCTCAACGTCGGCGGCACCGTCATGTCGATCCCCATGACAGGACTCCTCCATCCCAAGATGAAGCTCACGTACCTCTCGACTCTGCTGCTGCACTTCACTGACCAGCTGCCCAAGGACACCAACAATCTGCCATTCCTCGAGGCACACCCGCCCTACTTCCGCTGGCTGCGTGACCAGCTGGCGCTCCTGGAGAGCCGCCACCTCGACGAGATCACCCTCCACTCGCCGGAGGCCGACGACCCATCATATGCCGAGTACCATTCGCTGTTCATCACAAAGAAGCTGGGCGGCGACATCCAGGGGCAGCGGCGGGCGCCTGGTGCATCGGCAGCAGCAGCAGCAGCGGCGGGTGGAGGGGGAGGCGAGCAGCAGGATGTGGAGATGGCCGACGGCAACGGTGGTGCGGTGGAGGGTGAGGGTGAGGGACGTGGTGAGGGTAGACAGGGGGTGGGCATAGACAAGGCGTTTGAGAGGATCGAGCGGTACATGAGGACCTGCCGCCGCGTGCGTGAGGGGCTGCAGAAGCAGAAGGAGGCCATGGAGGCCTTCCTGTCGGCGATGCGGCCGTTCGTCAAGGGGCCGAGTAGCGATGAGGATATCGAGGTGTTGACGCTGACGGTGTATGAGGACAAGGTGTCGGTCCTCCGCCGCACCATCGCACCACTCGGAGCGAGCCATGCACTCGTCAAGCGATACAATCCGTAAGGACTGTAAGGCTGGGGATCTTGTGTGGTGTCCTATGTGTCTGTGTGTGTGGGGTGTGTGTGCGTGTGATTCTTCAGCGACGAGTGGCCCGACCAGGAGGCCCGCCAGACATCGCTCAAGTTCCTGCAGCTCATCGTCGATTTCGCGCGCCGCCTGACCGTTATGCCCGGCCGGTTCGTGCACCCGCCGGTGGTGGCGCCGCACGAGAAGGAGATGTTCGCCGTCGAGTTGGGCATGTACGGCCTCAACACGGTGCCGCTTGTCGGTGAGGCGGCGGCGGCGTCCGCTGTGATCCAGACGGCCGACCAGTGGCTGGCGGTGATGAAGATGACGGACAAGAAGATCGCTGTGGCGCCATCGCTGCTGTACAAGTGAGATGAAGCACTCACGCGCCAGAGGCAGATGACAGGCCGAGACCACTCCTCTCTGCTCATGTCGATATCAGGTCGAGCCGTGACACATTTGAGTACCCCTCCTTCCTCAACAAGGTCACCGGCAAGAGCGGCCTGCTCTTCGCCCTCCGCGACGGCAACACACACCGATTTGGCTGCTTCATCGACGGCCCACTCACACCGCCCGAGGACCCCACAAAGGCCAACTACTACAACGTGCCCGTCTTCTTCTTTTCGATGTCGGGTGCGTACGAGACGCCGACCAAGATCGAGCTGCCCGAGGACAGGCAGTGGGTGGACGTGGCCGGCACACAGGGGGTGGTCAAGAACAAGAAGGACGAGCCGCTCGCCAACGTGTACATCGGCCGCGGCTATCTCTGGCTCGGTTTCGCCGTGCCTGGTCCGGCGGCCGACCTCAGTAGCTGCCAGCAGTGGATCAGCAAGGCGGATCTGTCAGAGGGCTACAAGGGGACGACCAACGAGCAGGGCAACGGCAGACTGGCGCAGTCCAGGGACTTCACGTGCGATGAGATGGAGGTGTGGCAGGTGGGTGTGTGGGGGGTAAGGGAGGGCACATACAGATGCCTGGCTGTGGTCAGCGCTGCGTGTGTGTGTGTGCAGGTGAGGAGCGGCTGAGCGGATCTGACGGCACCATATGGGCTGCGGCAGAGGCGTGAGACAACACTACACCAGCAGAGCTTTGTCAGCTGAGAGAGGCGAATACAGTGCTGGCCTTGTTTTCGCTCCGTGCAGGTAGTATGTGTATACGGAGGAGGAGGAGCATTGCTGATGGTTGATGGCCGCAGTGTGTAGCTACCTTCTTGGCGACTGACTCAGACCCGACAGCATGACGGCCTGATGACTCATGTGTGTCCATGTGCAGACACAATCATGTGTGTGCGTGTCAACCTTTATCCACTGAGGTCGCATCACTTTGATAATCAATCAAAAGCATCCCGACGTTCACTCACAACACACAATCGGAGCAGGAAAACCGCTGAGACACCTTAAGGTTCCAATCAATACGTCTTATCTGTGCGTGTCGTTCGTCCTTCATGTGTGTCGGCTCGAGACACCATAGATGCGGTCACTCTGGCCGGACAGGGCAGCGTGTCCATGTACCGCCGACAGGGCACCGCGTGTGCCCTGACTGTCTCTTTGACGGACTCGTCATTTCGATCACCAGAAACTTCCTGACACTCACTCACGCCATTCAATCCATCCATCCGCTCTGTCTGTCTGTCTGTCTGCGTGTGTCAGTCATTCTTCGTGTGTCAACGAGCCGGCCGCCACCTGATCCATGGCGTCTTAGCTCGAGACACCAGGCCATGGGTGAGGTCACGCCTCTGCGACAGATACACGAACAGCCGCCCAGCACGATGAGCATCGACGTGCGTCTCACGACGGAGGCACATGCTCAGACAAGACAGACACGACTACATGTAAGAGTGTTTTGCTGGCTTGATTGAGGGGAGCCATGGCCATGGTCAGACAGGTCATCGTTGCGTTGGCGTGGTTTTGTTTTGTGTCGGTCGGTGTGTCGGTGTGTCTCCCAAGCAAGGCAGAGATTGACTGCTGGTCTATTCATGTGTGCGTACCCATACCGATCGATCGGCCGATCTGTGGGACCGTCCATATGTGTACCGATGTCTGTCTGTCTGTACACACACACATATATATGTATCTGACCGCTCTCTGTGGATGCGATCGATATCGGTCGGGTGAGTATGTCGGTGACCTCTGCAGAAGAAACGATGGACGTGGCTGAGTGTGTGTGTGTGTGTGTGGTTTAGTCAGGAGAGACGGACACTTAATTGCCGACAGGCAATATACACACACACGTGATTGATTGACGCTATGCACCCATGGATCAGGTCAATGGCTGTCTCAGTCCGTCCAGTCATTCACACCGATCTGATGTGGACGTGAAAACCAAAACGGAAAGCCGTTCAACCATGGCCACCACCAATTGAACCGTTCGTATGCACACACAAAAAAGGTTCGTCACACACATGGACACATCAATGCCATCGTACGATGTGTGTCAAGACTGCATGGATGCGTCAGAGGGGCCGCTCGCTGTCTGTGCACACGTCTACGGTTGTCCTCCTGTCCATCCTCAATCAGTGCACCACCCACACGACACTCTGACGGCACGTGAGACCCTCTCGATCACTCTGCGGTCCTCCTTCTCTTGGCCTCCCTCTCCACACCCTATTCTGACACATTCATGTCCATCCATCCATAAGGCACACAGTGAGTGCGTGTGGGTCACTCTGATCTGGCTCACCGTCCTCCTGCTCTTGCTGGCCATCGTCCTCGCCATTGCTATCCATATCTGCGTAGATACACACACACAGCAGACATACGAATGAGCCCAACGACATACGCACACACACATCCCCACCACTCACCCTCATCGCTATCGCCGTCATCGTCACCATCATCGTCCGCGCCGTCCTCTGCACCACACACACACACACACCCCGATTCATCCGACACACAGAGACGCGATGGCCGGCTGCTCACCCACCCTCATAGTCTTCCTCCTCTTCCTCTTGGTTGAGCGCCATGTCTGCGATGGTGTTGCTCAGCAGGCCGCGCACCAGTACCGGCGGTCCTTGAAGGCATCCGACGCATCACCCACTGGCGGCTCAGTAGTGACGACACCGACGACCACTGCATTCAGCGAAACAGCACACGCCAAACACTGGCTCAATGAGCACAGAGGACCTCTTATCGCTTTGTTGCCTGTCTTCATGTCGGCACGGCTGGCGAGATCGACATATGCGACGAATGGCATGTCGAACGACGTCAGCAGCAGAAACCGAACCTCTGCAGGGGGATTCATATCGTCCCACCTCAACGCCACGATGGTTCTGCATCCGCCGGGCGGCTGGTGGGGCGAGCGGTTGAGGAGGCCGTCCAGCACGCCACCATGATCATACCTGAAGAAGCAAACACAGAACAGAAGGAAGATACCCCCACGGATGGATATGTGTGTGGTGTTGCTTCGTACCGGTCCACGTGAACAAAAGCAGTTTTGCCCAAATTGGCCAGTGGACGCTCCATGATGATGCGCACGATGAACGCCGACATTGACGCATAAGTGGCCATCACACCACCGGCCGTCCAGCTGCCCCCCTGCAGGTGGATTGAGGATCTGACGGGCGGGTTGTCGGTGATGGTGTGAGGGTGGTATGGGTGGGTGGCGGGGAGGGGGGGGTTGATGTCCAGCTCGAAGCCAGGCTCGTCGTTGATGGCACGCACACCGCCGCCCGGCTGGTCGAACAGCTCAAAACGGCCGTAGTTGCCGCCGAAGTTAACGTGCCGACCGACCGTCTTCCACAGCGCCAAAACACGCGGCTCAGCCAAATACGCCTGCAACAACAGACACACCCTCTGAACCACCCATCCCTCCTCCCCTGTCCCCTCCGTCCCGCCCACCTGTTCGGTGGTGTGCCTCTGGAGGTCCTCCAAACTTATAGTGACCGGCAGAGTGCACAAGCCATGCTGCACCGCCAACTTCAGCGCGTTGACCGCCTCGGTCCACTGCTGCGTGTCCACCAGCCAGGTGGCCTTCAGCAGCAGAGGGCTCTCCAGCTGAGCGTCAAATGCGATAATGCCGCCGGGCTGTTTGGCCGCGAGGGAGCGCCCCAGCCGAGTGCGGAGGACGGCGGCCGAGAAGTCTATCTGCCTGAGGAATGTCGCTGTGCATCTGAGGATGCCGACCTCCTTGTGTTCGTGGATGGCATCTCGCTCCTCGCGATGGATGAAATCTATCGACTCGTTGCCTCTCGCCGGTGGGATGGGCTGCCGGCTGCTGGGCACCGTCACATCATTCCCCATCGCCTCAGATCAAAACGGCAGCATAAACATCTTCGCGAGCTCGAATGGCAAGCGCGATCGTGCCGAGGGACGTTGCAGGACCAACTAATTTCATCCAAAGCAGGGCAGGGACTCCATGGGAGAGCTGAGCCATCTGATTTTAGCGTAGATCTCCCCCTCCAAGACCTGCATGGGTCCGTCTGGCCCGCCACCCAGCCCTTCTTGCAGCGTGACGGCAGCAGCAGAAGAAGACACTGTCGTGATTGTGCGGACTCAGCTCGTCGGTGGCGTCCACCGCTCCACCAGGGGCATCTTCTCTCTCTGTGCTTCACGTCTGCTTTGTGTGTTCAATTAGTGGATTGATTCATAGATCAATGCCCTGGTTCGCCCTCCCTCGCCATCTCTCACAGCAACTCTCGCCCGCCCGGCGACTCGCCCGCCGCATCCCATCCGCCTGTCGGCCGACGCACGACACGCATGGAAGACACTCGCTGCATCCCACTGGCAGCTTCAGGCGGGTCGCAGAACCAACGGATGGCGGGCCGCAACCGAAGGTGCATCGCGGCATGGCGGCACTATCACGGCTATGTGTGCTGAGGCAGAGCTGACGGATGCTCGAGGGACCATCAGTGCACTTCAGGCTCGGCCGCGCGAGGACCACAAGCAGCGAGAGGAGCTGACTGACCAACAAAGTGTCGACAAAGAGACGATGGAGCAGCTGGTCAGTGCACGAGCTGACAAGGCGGCCATGCAACGACAGCTGGCCGATGCTGAGCGCACCATCAAGACACTCAAAGACCAGCTGGAGTGTCTGAGAACAAGGCTGGCTGAGCAAGAACAGACCATCAGGGCACTCTTTTCAAGCGGCTCCAGCCCTTCCAGCGGCTCGTCCGTGGTCCCTTCGGATCATCTTGCATCGCTGGCAAGCATGAATGGCTTCGCTGCCACCAAGCGGATGTTGGATGAGCTGGAGAAGCAGTCCCACATCGTCAATCGACTCATCGCGAGCAATGGAGGGCAGCTGCATCCTATTGGGCCGCTCGATGGCGAGATCGAGATCAACGTGGGCGGGACGGTGCTGTGTGTGCCTCGCAAGCCGCTGCTGCTGCCCGGCGTGAGTGAGAGCCTCATCGCCTATCTGCTGCTGCACCATCTGGATGGGCTGCCGAAGGACACAGACGGCCGCCCATTCCTCGATGCTGACCCAGTCTATATGGAGTGGTAAGTCGAGAGTGGGGGGAGGAGGGTTGACGAAACTCACAAACAATGCGGTCTGTCGTATCTGTTGACGTCAGGCTGCGTGACGAGATCGCCAACGTCGGCGTGGCGGATGCGCAGGGCGAGAGCCATGAGATCGTCCTGACGGGTGACCACAGCACCGACAGCTCGTCGCTCTTCTGGCACGAGCTACTCTTCGACACAAAGACGACACTCGGCAGCCATCTTACAAGGGAGACCGGCGCGTGCGAGGCAGCAACCAACGGCAAAGACCCCATCGACATCATCAAGGCGAGCGCGTCAGACGTCGAGGCGGCCATGGCCGACCTCGTCGAAGCTGAGAGGGAGCTCAAGAGATTCCACAGGGCCATCGGGCCATTCTTCAAGTCGGCAGCTGGAGATGACGAGATCAAGAGCGTGCGCGTCCTGGGCAAGACGGTGTCGACCACCGAGGCCACACTGTCATCCATCGGCAGCGACAAACGACTCTACAGGACACTTCATAGGCAAGCAACACAACACCAAGACGACACAGCTCATCATCGTGGATACACCCTTCTCTTGTGTCTGCAGCGGTGCGCCTGTGAGTTCCATCCGCCCTGACCATCTCATGAAGGTCGTCGACTTCGCCCGTCGCCAGCGCATCGCACCGCCCGGCAGCATCGTCAAGCCGCCCACATCGACCAACGCCAAGCAGCTTCGCGTCGACACCGAGATGTATGGGCTGAAGCACGAGCCCTCCTGCAGCGGCCTGGCGGGGGGCGGCCACAACTTCATCGCCAAGTCGGCCGAGGAGTGGGGCAAAGTCATCGACATGACCGGCAAACACTCACCCACAGCCACACTCATCTACAAGTGATCGAACCACGCACCCGGGCACAAATAACCGCACGCCGACAGACACACACTTCCCCGGTGTGTGTCGTGATCAGGTCGAGTCGTGACACGCTTGGGTACTCCTCCTTCATTAACAAGGTGACCGGCAAGAGCGGCCTCCTCTTCGCCCTCCGAGATGGCGACACACACCGATTCGGGTGCTTCATCGACGGCCCACTCGCTCCACCAGACGACCCCACGCAGACCAACCTCTACAAGGCGCCGCTCTTCTTCTTTTCGCTGTCGGGTGCGTACGAGACGCCGATCAAGATCGAGCTGCCCGAGGAGAGTCAGATGGTGAAGGTGGCCGGGGCACAGGGGGCGGCACAGGCCAACAATATGGACTGGAGTTCAAATGCCCGCATCGGTTGCAGTCCTGCTGGAGTCCTCTGGTTGGGGTTGGCTCGGCATGGTCCGGCGGCCGACCTCAGCAGCTGCCAGCTGTGGATCAGCAGGGATGAGCTGGCGGAGGGCTACAGCGGGGGGTACAGCTACTACAAAGGCACATTGGCGCAGTCCCTGGACTTCACGTGCGACGAGATGGAGGTGTGGCAGGTGCAGGTGAGTGATAGAGTGGCGAGAGGAGCGCAGGAGACTGTGAGCGCCTCTCTGCTTGTTGCGTCATTGTTTTCTAGGCGAAATGAGCGAGGTATGAGGCCACTGTATTCGTGAGGCCCTGGTGTCTATGCAGTGATACAAAAGAAGGCTGTGAGTTGTTTTTATTCGGTCTTGCAATGGTGTTGAATATTTGATTCATTTGTGTGCCGTGCTTGGCCTGTACCATAGGGCCGGTGTGGCTGTGATGGTATTGCCGACAGTCATGGCAATGGATTCGATGTGTGGCCATCAGAGTCTGTGTGCAACTGTGACTCACAGATGCGGAGAGTGCATTCATCCGCATGAGCAGCCTTTGGCTTCTCTGTCATCCTTGTACCCTCAGCATCACCTAGCAATGCAACCAAGGAGAACTGCCTCCCTCCAACAGGTCATCCCAGGTCGACCCACTTCAAGCTCGCATTCGCATGTGTCATCAGCAGCGCCCACCCAACCATAGGCAGGCCAGATCTTGCGAGATCTTGTACAAAGATCCCCCACTCTTAGCTCGCGTATCGTCTTAATGGAGCACTCTGACGCAGAGAATCGCCCGTCTGGCGAAGGTGGTGGGGCAAACATGCCCGTCGAAGGCGAGTCAAGTGCCAACGGTGTCACGATCAAGACAGAAGAGCAGCAAGAGCAAGAGCAAGAGCAAGTTCTAGAGGCACTGGCAGCAGCAGGGGCAGCAGACGCCGTCATCAAGGCAGAAGAGGGAGCGGAGGAACACATGACCAATGGTAACAACACACACACACACAGAGAGATCTGCCTCCCATTCCTCCCTCGTCTCCCTTTCTGGTGTCTGCATGCACATTCAGGTGCAGGTGGCGATGTGAACCAGTCAGTTGTGTCAGGGGAGGCAGAGTCCAGCAGTGCTACCTCTCAAGGCAATGCCAAGCGGAAGCGTGACGGCTTGTCGGACGATGTGAGTGTGGATCAGCTCATGGCTGACGAGGAGAGCCTGGACGAGAGCACCAAGCAGGCGCTCGCTATGATTCGCCAGTGGAAGATCGACCATTTCAAGGACGTATGTGATGTGCGATGCACACGGATGGGCACATGAAGATGTGTATATGTGTGTGTGTGTGTGTGTGTGTGTGTGTGTGTCCATGATGGGTGTGTGTGTGCAGTTCTACGCTCTGTGTCAGAAGCGCCACCTCGACCCCAAGTTCAGCTACGAGGCGGTTCAGTGCAACAAGGAGGACATCAAGAAGACAGGCACGTCCGCCCATCATTCCCTGCACACACACATACACGCCTTGTCCCATGTGTGTGTGTGTGTGTGTGTGTGTGTGTGTTGTTGGTATGTTGCAGGCAGGAGCACCACGTGGGAGTGTGTGGTCTCTCTGCACCTGCCGGGCGACCCCGTCCCTCTCACTGCAAACGGCACTGCACACAAGAAACAGGTACACACACACACGTGTGTGTCGACGCCCGAGTGTTATTGATACGGCGTGGAATGGGTGCACTGCAGGAGGCCCGGTACAGTGCGCTTGAGAACCTGAGCCTGATGCTGCTGCAGAGGGGCGTCTCGCTCGACGGTACCACAGCTTTGTGTGTGTGTGGCAGGGGAACCGATATCGACACTCATCTCATCCACACTTCCGTTCGTGTGTGTGTGTGTGTTTGTGTGTGTGTGCAGCCCCTCCCGCCAAGAAGCGCAAGAGCACTGCGGCGGTATCGTCATCACCATGCGCACACACGTCGACACAGAAATGCATTCGACAAGGTATGTGTCGATGTGTGTGCGTGTGTCTGGTGGGTGCAGGCAAAGCGCCAAGCAGAGGCAGCAGCAGCTGCTGGTGGTGCTGGTAGTGGTGGTGCTTCTGGTGGCGGTGGCGGCATTGAGGCGTCAGCACCGGCAGACAGTGTGGATGTCCAGGCGGTGCCCATCACGGCGGACGAGCGGACGCAGCAGATACTGGTCGGTCTGCCTCCACGCATTGTGGCGCGTGTGTGGGGACTCTATGTGGTTGTGTGTGTGTGTGTGTGTTAAGGCCAAGTACAAGCAGCACAAGCCGAAGCAGCTGGCCAACCTGATCTACCAACACGCTGCAGAGGTGCGCTGCATATAAGTGTGGGTGCACATCACGATGTGATGATGATGTTGGTGGCTGTGTCTTGTGCCATGCCGTGCCATGTGTTGTGTTGTCTGTTGTCTACGCCGCACACGCAGGGCAACACTGAGGAGGCCATCAACTGCTTGCTGGTACGCCCTGTGTGTGTGTGTGTTGTTTGTGTGTGCGTGAGCGCCTATGTATATGTGTGTGAAGGTGTTGGTTGCCGGTAGCCACACGCACTGGCCTGCAGACTTCGCCACGCTGTGGGAGGCGTTCGCCTACAGAGGCAACCTGGTTGGCATGGAGATGCTGCTCAAGCAGCTGCAGAACCCTCAAGGTGACTGACCTGACTGCACGAGCCACTGACACACACCCACACCCACACCCACACCCATACACACACGCGTGTGCGGTGTCATTCATGGCTGCATCCATGTGTGTGTGTGTGTGTATGTGTGTGTGCAGTGGTGGCAACACAGATGGAGCGCAAGCCGGACCGAATGCGCATCGAAGCCAAAATGTTCCCACGTACACACACATCTCTACACCCCCGCCCACCACATATGCCACAGTACACACTCTGTCTGTGTGTGTGTGTGTGTGTGTAGCGCACCAGTGGTCCAGCCGGCAAGAGGTGGACAGCGCCAACGAGCAGCTCCTCAACGGACGATTCGACAGATCCGACGGATACGTCGCACAACACACGTACTCACGGCCTCACACACACACTCACACGCGCCCACACAAACACAGCTCGGTGTTCGCCTGTGCGTGTGAGTGTGTGTGCGCAGTGCGGCCGCCCAGGGGCATCGGATTGACTGCAACGCTGACATCTTCATGCACCCAAGTCCGTCAGCCTCCACCACCGCCCGCACATCTGTCTGTCTGTATGTGTGTGGATGTGTTTGTGGACTGCAGGCAAGCGCGGCGGCGTCGGCAAGAAGTGGACACAGGCCAGCAGCAGTGCATCAGCAGCAGCAGCTGCTGCTGCTGCCTCTACAAGCTTCGAGCCGCAGCAGTACCACCAGCAGCAGCAGGGTCCACCCTCACAGACCCACACACACACACACAGCACAAGTGCATGGCGCCTTTGCTGCTGCAGTTGGTGTGGATCTACCAGAGGTACCCGGCCTGGAGCTGTCCGTCGAAATCGTTGGTACGCCCTCACTGGTTTCACCCACACACACACAGCCACACCGAGACAGCCGTGTGTGTGAATGCCTGCAGAGAGCTGTCTGGACGTGTTGGCGCTTTGCGGCTCACCCACTGTGGCCGAAGTGGTAACACACACACACACATGGGGAGAGAGAGAGAGGGAGAGAGGGACATGTGTTGTGTTGTGTGTGTAGGGTTGCCGTCTGTTGGGAGGCTATGTGTGTGTGCCGATGGAGGCCTTCCGCTTCATGCCCGCCTGGTGCTTCTACACGAGATTCAGGCTGCTCCTAGGTGGGGTGGGGACGCCCACACACACACACACACACATGCACCCATGTGTGTGCGTGTGTGTGTGTGTGCTGTGCAGCTGAGGAGCTGTGCCAGACCATCTACCAGCTCACCAAAGCATGTTAGTGCCGGCGCCCACACCACACACACACACCCCTTGTCCCATGTGTGTGCCCACGTGTGTGTGTGTCTGTGTGGCCAACATGCAGCGACGCAGGGCAACGTCTTCTGCTACGGCCCTCTGAGGCGGAGGCACTTCGGCAACTCGCACTCGCTCATGTGACGCACACGCACCCCCCACCGCACCCCACCGCACAATGGTTCACTTCATTGTGTGGTTGTGTCTCTGTGTTTGTGTGTGTCTGCAGGTACATAGAGATGACCCATGCAGAAGGCAGAACCATGGCTGGTGAGCCGCACACAGACAGACACACAGACACACACACACACACACACACAGAGAGAGAGAGAGAGGGAGAGACCCACGTCTCGTCTGCCCTGCCACATGGGCAGCCAATGTCGGTCTTTTCACACAGATTACCCCGGCCCGGAGTCTCAGAAGATCTGCGAGAACGAGTACGTCCGCGTCGTCTGCTCCGACCCCCACATCCCCACACAAGTGGGCTTCGTCAAGGCTGCCGACCACAAGGGCGGCCGCGTGTGCCTCTACGTGCCCACCGTCCACGGCACCCACCCCAAGAACGTCAGGGACAAAAACGAGCAGGCCACACGTACGCCACGCCATTGGACACACAACACAACACACACAGGCCACACACACGCACTCACGGTTGGCTTGGGTGGTGTGTGGTGTGGTGGGGGCAGAGGAGCTGGCCCACACGTTCACCCTGTGGAAGATCGCCAATCGGAAGCCTTTTGACGCGCAGATCGACGCACTGAAACGGTACACGTGTGTGTGTGTGCGGGTGGGTGGGTGGGTGGGTGGGTGCGTGGGGGGGAGATGGATGGCAAGTGTGTGTGTGTGTGTGGTGTGTGTCAGGCTGTGCAATCCCGTGCCCAACGTCATGTCGATATCGCTGCAGGACCAGCTGCTGGCCAGGCAGCCCCCACCTCAAGTGCACGGTCAGTCTCTCTCCCTCTCCCGCTCCCTCTCCCTCTCTCTGTGTGTGTATATCTGTCTGTCTGTCTGTCTGTCTGTCTGTGTGCAGAGTTCCAGAACCGGCGCTCTCAGGTCATGAACTTCCTCGGCAACGTGCTCAGAAACGGTCAGTCCACACAGACACACACACAGACACAGAGAATATGACACCATATCTGTGTGTATGTGTGTGTGTGTGCAGTGTGGGGCCCGCTGAACCACAGCCAGATTGAGGCGGTCGGTGCGGCGGCCAGCAGCGAGCTGACACTCATTCAAGGCACGAACACACACAAACTCCTCCCACCACCACCACCACCAGAACACACACAGATGGATGGATGGATGGAAGAAAGGGGACATTGCGTGTATGTGGGCTGGGACGGACAGGCCCGGCTGGCACTGGCAAGACCACCGTGGCGGCCACCATCATCAAGGCCTGGACATACGACAGACAGCCGGCCGGCAAAGTGGCCTACACACACACCCACACACACACCCAAACACACACACACACATCAAAGGGGAGCGAGACGTCTGTGTGTGTGTGTGCAGATCTTGGCGGTGGCTGGCTCGAGTGTGGCTGCCGACAACCTCAAGAGCATCCTCCAGGACATTGACGACATCCACAAGGACCACCGTAGGCAGACAGAGAATCTGTCTGCTCACCCCACCCCTTGCACTGCACACCTGAAGATCACGTGTGTGTGGTGTGTGTTGTGTGGTTGTGCAGCCATCAACGCTCTGCGTGTGGGCAGCGGCTCATCTTTTGACGTACACGCGCGCACACACACAGAGAAATGCACTCAGAGACCCATTTGGATATCGCTCTGTGTGTGTGTGTGTGTGTGTGTGCAGAGTGCCGATGATCTGGCGTACCAGGCCGCCAAAGAGATGGTATGGCGGTGGCGTGTCAGTCATAATGCCTTCATGTCTTCCTTCCCAAGCTATCAACCTATGTGTGTGTGTGTGTGTCTATCAGACGCGAGCAGGCAACCCCCAGTCGGTCAAGAATCTGCTCTCAGCTGTAAGCACGGCGCACACACGCGCGCCGCACACACACACACACACACATATTGGCAAGGATCAACACGTCTGTGTGTATCTCTCTCTCTGCCTCTCTCTGTGTGTGTGTCTCTGTGTGTGCAGTCGCTTCGTGACGCCAAGGTGATCGTGGCCACGTGTGTGGAGTGCCAGGCCAACAAGGAGCTCGCCAAACATACCTTCGACAGAGTCATCGTCGATGAAGCCACACAGGCCACTGGTAGACACACCCACACACACAGACACACAGACACACCCACACACCCACACACACACACAGACACCATGCGCACATATGGATGTGTGTGGTGCAGAGCCCGCGGTATTGTGTGCCATCGTCCGTGGCTGCCGGAAGCTCGTACTCATCGGCGACCAGCAGCAGCTCCCTCCCACCGTTGTAAGCACTCCCACACACACACACACACAGACGCACACACACAGACAGCTGGATGGATGGATGGATGTGTTGTGTCTGTTGGGTCGATCTCTGGATCGGTCAGCACTCGTTGTCTGCTGCCGACAAGGGCCTGAGCCTGCCCCTGTTCCAGCGGCTGCTGCTGTGCGGCCACCGGCCCTACATGCTGCACGAGCAGTACAGAATGCACCCAGCCGTCGCAGAGTTCCCTAACGGACACTTCTACAATCGTACGACCCCCACCTACCCTTCTCACACACGCCTTTGTCTGTGTGTGTGACGTCCATGTGTGTGTGTCGATGTCGGTGTGTGTGTGTGTGCAGGGTTCATGAGTGACGCCGTGCATCCCAGCGAGCGGTGAGCACACACACGGGGGGGAGGCGTGAGCTGTATGTCTCTCTCTGTCTGTGTGTGTGTGGATGCGTCAACAGGCCGGTGCCGCAGGGCTTCCCCTGGCCGCAGCCATACATTCCTGTGGTCAGAGAGAGAGAGAGAGAGAGGCAGAAAGAGAGGAACACACTTACACACTTACACTTTTGATTCATGTGTGTGTGTATCCGATATATCAGTGCTTCATCGACACGTCTGGGGGCGTGTTTGAGGAGCAAGTCGACACCTCCTTCAAAAACAGGCGGTGGGTGCCCACCTGCACACGTCTGTCTGTCTGTCTGTGTCTGTGTGTCTGTGTGTGTGTGGATGGATGGATGGATGGCTGTGTATGGGGGCGCAGTGAGGCGTCTGAGGCGGTCCGTGCGCTGGACATGATGCTGGGGTGGGACGTACACCTCTTCGACCAATACGGAAAGAAGCGATTCGACATCGGTCGGTCGGCAACCCTACACACACACACTCACACACAGACATATACCGAGCCTATGGCCCTCTCCCTCTCTCTCTCTCTCTCTCTGTGTGTGTGTGTGTGTGTCAGGTCTGGTGACGCCATATCAGGAGCAGCGTCGCGAGCTGCTCCGGCAGCTCCTGGCCTACATCCACGTGGGCTCATGATGGACACACACACACACACACACGCACACACACGCACACACACTCCTGCTCGTGTGTGTGTACGTGTCTGTGTGTGTGGCCTTTGCTTTGTGTGTGCAGCAAACGCCCAAGCTGTATCATCACGTGAAGTCGATGGTCACCACCATCCACGACGTCAACAAAGTCATCGACGTCGACACCGTCGACGGATTCCAGGTCAGTGCAGTGTGTCCGCACACACACCACACACCACACACCACACACATTGGATAATGGTGGTGTGCTGTGGTGTGTGTGCCCACAGGGGATGGAGAGGGAGGTGATCATCTTCTCGGCTGTGCGGTCAAACTCTCAGGTACACACACAGGGAGGGAGGGGGAGAGACAGAGGGGGCACCAATGGACATCTCTGTGTGTGGGTGTGGTCCATGTCATGTGTGCAGGGCGATGTGGGCCTTCTTGGCGACCACCGGCGCACCAACAACATGCTCACGCGCGCCAAGAGAGGGCTCATCGTCATTGGTACGCACCCACTATTCCCCCTTCCTCACCATCTTTCCGTGTACTCGTGTGTCTTTATTCGTGTGGGTGTGGGTGGACAGGCGACAGGAACACCCTTTCTGCCGATGGCACCTGGTCGGTCAGACTCACACACGTCTACACAACAAGAGGCATGGGTGTGTGTTCGAGTGTGTTGTGTGTGGTGTGGTGAATGTGTGGTTTAGGCGCGCCTTCATCGACTGGGCGACGCACAAGGGGTGCGTCAGGCAGGCATACCCTATCATGTGACTGACGTGATCTACTGCCGCAAAGACAGAGAGGCAGACAGACAGACAGACAGGCAGGCGCATGGTCTATTTGTGTTACCATGATGGATACATTGTGCATTTTTTCCACTTCCTTCGTCTCGCTTTGCACACACATTTGGTGATGAATGGCATTGCACCTTACACACACACACATACGTGGAGAGGGAAGAGGCGTTTCTCCGTTTCTGGGTTTCTGGGTTTTTGCAGCAGCTGTATGATCATAGCTGTTGGACTCGTTTGGACGCAGTGAAGAAACAAGGAAAGGCATCCACTGTCCATCCATCCATTGGGTCTGGTGCTGATGCGTCCGTGATTGACGATGCACTCACTAGCCAGCAGCCAGCCACTCACGCGAACACACACACACACACACACACACACATCGAGAGGCGCACAGGACTGAGCACGGTAGGTACCACCCCTGCGCACATCCGTGTGTGAGTGTGCCTGCCTGCTGCGCGCTCCTGCACACCAACGCACACCTACATATACCTAGGGTTTAGCTGAGCACCTCAGCCGGCCTCCCCGCCCCCCTACTAATGGGAAAACGCCTTCAAAAGGCGAGAGTATAGGGTATAGGGTATAGGGTTTGTCTTCTGCGAGCTAAGATGTGCGCGAAAGGGTGAGGAGAGCAGGAAGCTGTAGCGGCGTACTAGCTGATCTCTGATGGGCACGTGTGGGTGCCGAGCGATGGACGGCCCGCCAGCCAAGATGACTCATCCAGCCAAGATGGCAACGAGGAGCCTCACGAGCCTGCTGGATGGGCTCATCTGGCTCAACGTGTCATCGTATCAGTCCGTCAAGGAGCGCCTGGCGATGAGCTGTGTCTGCCGCCCCTTCTACTGGGCCATCTACTCGCTGATCCGGGTCATCAACTGGCACCGTCCCAACCACGGCCTCAGCTGCAGGGGACCAGACGGCAGCCTGGTGACGTTCGAGCAGCAGCAGCACGCCATCATCCTGCTGCCCGGAGAGGAGGAGGTCGAGGAGATCGGCCGGGCGCGGCTATTCGCCTTCATCTCGCTGCAGCTGGTCAACCACACTGACACGCTCAAGGACATTCAGACGGCTCAACCAAAATCCAAGGATCGAAAGGGTGGCCTGTCACTGGCGCATGTCAAGGGGCCCGATGCGGTGTTTCCGTCGGTCACGTCGGTCAAGGTGGACAGCCCCGACGGACTGCATCTCTTCCGGCAGCAGAAGCTCGTCTGTCCGGCACTCGAACGGCTCACGGGCAAGGTCTTTTCCGACGACGAGATAGAGGACACCGAGCGCAACTTGCCGGGCAAGTGGGCATCCATCTGCGCCGTGCTCGATGGCAGTTTGGCGTTCATCATCGGCTCGTCCCCATCCCTCACCCAGCTGGACATCTTCCCACTGCTGTGCTGCACTGATTTCAACAGGGTCAACCAGAGCTGTGTGGTGCCCCTCACCACCGCTGCCCTCTCATCGCTCAAGAACCTGCGCCACGTCGGCCACCTCAAGCTGCGGGGCCTCAGGACACAGGAGACAACCCTGCTGGTGACATTGCTGCGCCAGCTGACGCCACACAAGGGCAGTCGGCCTCGTCCAGCAGCGCAAGTCAGGCCGCTTCCCCCTGCCCCTCCCCGTTGGGAGCCGCCACCAAGCGCCACCTCAAGGTCCACTGCCCCCTTCGCATCTTCCGAGACCTGACCGATCCGCAGACCTATGACTCAGTGCAGACGATCCAGGCGGCAGAGCAGATGGGGTGGGAGGTCGTCAGAGAGGGAGGCGATACCGTCATATATTGCCGTCATGCTGAGAGGACCGAGGGCCCGCCGACCGCCGAGACTCTCAAGCTGGTAGAGACCATCAAGCGGCATTCGGAGGGGGGCGACGAGGTGTCATTGCTTGGGGACGATAGTGGGTCAGGCGATCCCACCAGCCCGCACTTCAGCGGCATCCGGTTCGACAGCGCCACGAGACTGAACATTGACCTCAACATTAGCAGCCCCGATGTCGCTGCTGAGTCCTTCAACAGCATCCCCCTGTGGCTGACCGAGGACACCACGCTCAAGTCACTCAGGTGAGTGAGGCGCACAGCAAAGGCGATAGAGGCGCCTGCCTGATGTGTGGGTGGGTTCAGTAGTATGACGGAGGTCTTCCTGTGCAACTACGAAGGCCCATATGATGGCATCCCGACGTGTGACCCCGAGTACCTGATCCCGCCCGCCAAGCCAAACCGACTCTCCCGCATCCTCTCATCCCTCCCCGCACTCGCACACGTGGACTTCGACTGTCTGGGGCTCGGCGCCATCCTGGCCTCCGAGGCGCTCGCATACATTCAGCAGGGCATCGCCAAGCCACTCAAGGTACACACACACACACACACACTGCACGGCCACAACCCTCTCTAATGAATGGATCCTTCTCACTTGGGTCGCAGAAGTTGGAGATAGAGCACGACGAGCCGCTCTTCTTCAACCGGCCCCGCATCAAGGCGGCCGCCCCTGTCGCCTTCCCCTCCCCTGACACCACCCGACAGTACCCCACAGTGGAAGAGCTCAGCATCGAGATCAGCCCCATCGATATGGACGTGGGCAGCTACCAGGACATCTACAACGCGAGAGCAGAGAGCGTCCCCGATCGGCTGCGGGACCTCTTCCGGCTCGTCCACGAGGTGCGGCCGAGCCACGCCACCCTTAATCTCGGCGAGCGAGCCGACATCTTCTCCGCCCCTGGCGATGCCGACGGGATCAAGAGCGAGCTCAAGTCGCTGTTCGGCCAGGGCCGCGTGCGGCAGGACATGCCAGAGTATCGCATGGAGGCGACGCGACTGGCCTACAAGCGATTCGATGAGGAGGAGACATCGGATGACGAGCTGGCACAGCGGCCGCGCGAGCACGAGTGGACCGTCGAGATGGAGATGTGGCCGGTAGGTGATGCTGGTGACGGGGAGAAGGGCACTGAGGGGATGGGCTGAGGGGGGAGACAGGTGCGGGTATGTGAATAGCCTAGTGCCAGCTGGTGTCTAGTGTACAGTCATACCGACCGAGCCTCAGTCGGCATGCGGACAGGCAAACATCCAGCTGCTGCGTTCTGAGACGGGCGTTGCGTTGCCCTGCGATATGCATGAGCGCGTCGGGCGGCTGACTGGATACGTGTCCACCTTATGAGGTCTAGATCTGCCGCGGTCGAAACTGTCCATCTTGACCTGTGGCTACGACAAGCGTGGAGGGGCAATCATTCAGTGCACTGAATCAGACCTGATCGATCAGAGACGCAACCAACTGACGTCAACACGAAAATGCACAGCGTCCCTCCATCCATCCATCCATCCATCGGGTCTGACGTTGATGTATCCGTGACGGAGGCATTGGTATGCAATGCACATCAACGAGCAGAGCACGGTAGGAACTACCGAGCTCTAAAAATCCAACAAACGCCCAGCAGCGCCCAACCCAACACACAACCGCCCCTTATCGTACGCACCAGGTCCACCCCACCATGGGCAACTCACTTGACAGTCCGTCAAGACACACACACCACACACACACACTCACACACACACAATTCCCTCCCCTTACACACACAGCAAGCCAGGCAGCCCACGCACGCCCCCCCCCCCCC